TCGGCAGCACAGTATGAAAGAATGCCTATGGCTGGACCATCACTAAACACTCCACATGGATTTTTGTCATCAGCCCACAGGTGGTGTATCTGTAGCCACAAGTGGTAGACCCAAGGGCCTTCATTCTTTCCCCAGGTCTTGTCCTCTTGCCAGAGCTGGGGGAGGGCTTAGCAGACAGCGTTGAATAAATAACAGGCAAGTATAGCTTCAACAACCGTGGCTAGGTATGATTTTAATGGGAAGTTTTTCTTGGATCAGACAGGCCCTATCTTCCAGGGTAAATGGGTTCTAATTTACCTGTTAACACATAGAATTGGTTTAAGTGTTGAGAAAGTAACGTTTTTCTTTCATTTTTCCTCTTTTCTTGTTGATATTTTGTTTTTTGGAGGTGGGGTTCAGCTTATGTGAGCCCAGCCTGGACATGATCTCCTCTCTCCTCCTGTCATGAGTGGAACTGAGAGACAAGATGTGAAGTGACACAGAAAGACAAATACTGCCTTCTCATTCATAGGCAGGAACTAAAGAAATGACTCTCAGAGAAAGAGTGGAGCAGAGGAACTAGAGGCTGAAAGGACAGGGGATACAGACAGCTTGGGCACTGGGGACCAAAACACAGTTATTTAGGAGCAGTAAGTTTTGGTCTTTTGCATCACATAGGGGACGGTAGGTTAAACAATCTGCTGCCTATGTAACAGGAGAGAATGTCCACTTCTGTTGCTGTCAGGCTCATCTCTACCCCAAACCACTCTCCTCACGCTCCCACCACGACCACTTCTTAGGTGCACGCTTCTACTCTGGTTCTGGCCTCTTGGAACAGGCTGATTTTAATTCAAGGATATAGTCTTTACCTGGGTCCAAAAGGTCATTTAATGGTGGTTTGGGGGAAAATAGTAAGAAAAGTTACTTTCAGTTAACACTCCTCACCTCCAGATGTTGTAATAAAGTAGCAAGTAGCCAATAGGTTTATTTTTGGACTCAACATTGTCAAGACCAAGCAGAACAGTTGGCCCCTTCTGAACCTGATCTCTGTGTGGGGCACAGAAGTGCTTTAAGCGTCCATCCAGGCTTAGAGAATCAAGCAAGCAGAGAATTTTCTGCAGTGGCATGGCTGCAGACCTGTCTTACCCTGAGGTCTGAAGATATCACCTCTACAAGTTGAATGGTGCCCAGAATTTGCAGGCTTTTTTGGAGTATGATATGAATCTGGGACCTGGGCCAGATATTTTCATTGGGAAAATGTGGACAATTCCCACCTCCGTCCTTTTCTATTGCTGGCTATATGCTTCTAAAGTGAACTGGTATTTAATTTTTTCTGCTAAAAGTATACAAAATGCTGGTTGCAAAGAAATAATGAAAACCATTTATGTAAAAGGAAGATGGTGGATTAATATTACAGTGAAAGATAAAATTCTGATCACAAACACAGCAAAAATCTATAGAAAAATCCTTGCCTGTGTGCCAAATGCAATGAAACCGATTAACACACCACTTCTATACACAATCAGTACAGTGTGTGCCTTTATAGTCATGTGGGATTCACTGGACAGAAAGACAGTTCCACCTGAACGCTCCTGGAAGTTTTAAGAAAATCTTTGGGTCACCAGATCAGGAACAGGTTACCCCAAAGTCCTTAATGAGCCACGAGAAATGAATTGAATTTTCATTCCAGGTCTTAGTATATGTACTCCATCAGAATTAGAAGTCAAATACCCTTTGGCTCATGGCTCCAACATAGATAAAGTTCTCTAGGGAGGCAATGGCATCCAACTCCATGATCACTTTGCTTCTCAATTCTTTCTTCTCCTAGAACAACTAACCAACAGCATTCTAGGCTGGGATTGTGTTGACATTCGGGTTTATTCTTCTTGCAGCACAGATTGGAGAAGAATTGAAACTCTGCTATTACAGGTTAAATTGTGTTACACTCAATTTGCAGAGTGTCTAGTTCCTTTTTTTTTTTCTGGTACTTCTGATTTTGTTGTAATGACTATTGCCTAAAATAAATGGGCAATCGACAGAGGCTTAGGGATGCCTAAGTGATTTTTATAATAGCAATATTTGTTGTTGCAGAATTTGACCTGTATTCTGGTTATTGGTTTTATTCTTCACATTGAAAACTTGGCACTACTATTGTTCATGCCATTCTATGCAAAGCACTGCAGCGTGAAAGTCACTTACAAAGCTTGGGGAGAGCTCACGGCACAATGAAGCCTCAGCTAAGTGAATGCACATTTTGTTTAGTTAAATGTTCTGGATTGTCAATGGTTTATTCCTTTTAATCCCAAGGAGGTTTCTCTCCACCCCCATCTGTCATAAGCATTTAAAAACAGCTACTGTATAAATACTGACCATCTTTGGCATCTTTTGTGTACATGTGATGCTTAGTTATTATTTTGAATATGATACAATGAGATTCTTTTGATACTAAGTGTCCTCTATACAGTGAGTTTTGGAGTCCACTTGACATTTTATCTTCTCTATTGCTGTCACTCTCTTCCTTCCTTGAATTTGATTCCTCTGGAAGTCTGTTTCCCTTCCTTAAATTCAATCTTCTGCAGGCAGACTTGGAAACTAATCAAATATTTAGGATTGTGTGCCGAGTGAGAACAGAAGCTCTGGGCAGGTGCCTGATGTTTGGATGTATGGCCTCCCTTGCACATTTGCTTTCTGGTATTTATTTCCACTGGTAGAAGGCTTGGCTGCCTATTTCTTAGTTTTTAGTCATTTTTCAGTGGGTCGCACTTCTGCTAGGGTTTTCCCAGTTGTCTCAATTACTCATTCTCAAGTCATTTGTTTGGATTTTATGTTCAGGAACCACAAATAAATGAAGTTATCAGATGGCTGAAACTAGATGAATGAGCAGCAACTGAAACCTCAAATGGCATGAAGATTGTGGTCCTTTTTTATATGGCATATGCAGCCATCTCAGACACAGAACAGTAAAACAGCTTCTCTTGCCACCCTTTTCCAAGAACAGAAAGCAGGACTTCATCAAGCTGCTGGAGACATCCTCATGATGCTTCATTAGACTACAGGCTTTGTGTCAGAGCTGGCTGACACTGGAGAATCTAAGGTCGCAGTCAAAGCAGCCCTGATGCTGTCTTCTGGTGATTCCATTATTTATGGCCTTGAAATGAAGGAGGTAAGGCTAGTCTAATAGTATCCCTCCTTCCTAAAGCACAGCTCTTGGTCTGAAGAGGACTGCAGTATCTTTAGTCTTTTTCTCACTTGTTCTGTTTCTTAGCTGTATAAAGAAAGAGCTAAAAAAGGCTCAAGTTATTTGTCCAAGACTGACCTGCATGGAAGGTGTGCCAGGGGCAACATGATGTCTTTATCAATACCAGGTGGAGTCAGCAGAGCTAGGAGTGAAGAGTGGACACCATAGTCCGACAGCCTGGTTACTTAAATCCTGGCTCTCTGTTTATTAAAATAAACTTTGGTTATAGTACTTAAATCTCTAAATATGATCTCTGAGCAATAAAATGAGACCATAGTGTTAGTGCTTTGAGCATTAAATAAGGCAATGTGAAAAGCAACGAGGAGAGTCCCTGGCCCAGACAAAGAGATCACTAAATGGTAGCTATTACTGTTAACAAAATAAATGTTTAAACACTGGAAATTGCAATATTTAACAGACACTCAGTGTAGCCACTGAATGACTTCAGTCTTGTTTCTCATGGATTTGCTGCATCGTTGTTCTCTCTTGCTGAAAGGCTGGTAGCCTGACTTTCTGTTGAGCATATCTCACTCTGGCGCCTTGTGAAGAGCAGGAGAAAGTCCAGACAAGGTGCAATTTCACTTTTTTATGAGCCTAAAGGAAATGAGGCTACATGTAAGTGGAATCAAGAAACGATCAATTAAGAAAAAGGAGCGGTGTAAAGGAAAGATAATAAAATAAAGAAGGACCAGGGCAACGGGATGCGGTATTGAGGAGAAAGATAAAGTGAGCAGCAGGGCAGCGGGATGCGGTATTGAGGTACTGGCACCAGGATGCAAGGGTGAAGACCTTCCAATACACTGTGGTTTGAAATGCTGGAGACTACCAAGTGCTCTGGCGCCTGGCAATGCTACCCACTCAACCCCCAGCAGAGGAGGTGCCCTCAGCAACTGGGGAGGAAGTGGGACATAATGATTGCTCCAGGAGACAATCTTCTGCTCTGGGGCTTTAATCCAGCTCGGCTTATTGGGTGACCTTGTGAAGACCAGGAGATATTACAGACAAGATGCAGTTTCACTTTTTTTATGAATCTAAAGGAAATGAGACTACACATATGCAGAATCAAGAAATGATCAATTAATCAAAGTTCTCATAGTACCAGGTAGAATGACTTAATGAAGACACACTTGAGAAAAGGAAATTAGAGCAGGATTCACAAGTATCAGGTGGCTTTCAGGATTTTGAAACTTTAAGTTTTATGCTTTTGGGAAGGCTTGCATTTTCAGATCCGCATAGTTCTAGCATCTCTGATCTTCACATTTGGCTACTGAAGGCCTGAGCGCACGACTCCAGATTTCAGTACATCAGTTGGCCCAATGTGCAAAGCCAGCCTGAAATGAGTTTACTTACAATTTAATTCTCTCATCAATTATATTCAAATAGGTACCTTCAACGTTCCACGGGATGGCTCTGCTAGCTTAGCTATAATTTGCTCAAGGGTGCTGCTTAGTTTTTATTTCTAAAGAACATTTGTCACAGACTAAATTTTGATCTTACTTCTAGTTAATCAAAGTTGTAAAGTTGTAAGTGGTGTTTGAAAAGATCACAGGAGTAAATACCTTATAATCTATCCACATATCTAATTTAATCCAATCTAGGCACTGTTATAAATAATAAAATGCTCTGCCACCTTCCAGAAGTCTCCTAAGGAAGGCACTTTAGGAAGTCAGGAGTAAATTAGGTCCCCAAATCTAATAACACAAACACTATAGCTAAGCATGCATATCGTCATGAATATTTACACCTAGCAAGGGCCTTTGTGCACCACTCTGAGAGACAAATGGTATTTCCAGTAATAGTTTATTGATTTCCAAATGCACAGGGGCGCCAAGTCCGAACATCCTGGGATAGCAGTAAATCTCTCTTACAAAATAATTTACAGTATGAAAATGATATACTGAAACATTAACTGAGATATGTGATTCCCTTGAAAGATTGAGTGTTCCCTTGTTTAGTGTACAGGGAGGAAGGGGAAGATGACTAAGGAGGGAATGTGACTGTACACGAAAACAGGCAGAAGACAATGGATTCGTTGGTTCTACCCACTCACGCATTGTGGCCTGTCACTGTAAGAAGACTGGTCAGGTTTAACTTCCACAAAGTATAAATCACTGGTCCCCTCAAAGTCACATCAAGTCCAGTATGGACTCTGGCTGCTTCTCTGCACCTTCAAATGTCTTCATTTATTTTCACTTTCTTGTTCTGGCCCAAGTTCTGGTGTTTCTGATGAGTTCTCAGCCTCACATGGTAATGTGAGACCAAGTGATCCAAATGATCTGTTTTCTTGGCAAACAAACAGTTCCTATGGCTCTTGGAATTCCATAGGGTGAAGGCTTCAGAAACACTGCTACGTGAAGGCAGTGTCAGTAAGATCTGCAATCTCCCTTGTAGGCCTGTTCCCTTAGAGTAGGGCTGCACTTGATTTATAATGGGATTTCTGTCTTTAAAAACACAAACAAAAAAATCTAGATGACAGCCCACAGTAAACATGCAACCAATTATTTCCTGAAAAGCATGTACTGAACAGCTATTACACAAGAGTATTGTATCAGGAACAGCAGGACATTTTCTCTGTGGGGAGATAGGACTCCCTAGACCTCTGACTACTACAAGGTTATAAATTATACAGCTGTACACTCAGGCCCAAATGAAGTGACCAAAATGATCCAAGTCACCAAAATGACAGGGCATCTAAATTTTACATGTTATTAGACATGGTGGAAGGGGGCTGGGGTGCAATTTCCTTCCTGGCTGTCACCTTGGATCTGTTTTAAAAGTTGACACCTACCACTAAGGGCTCTTCTGGAAAGCCAGCACTCACTCCAATGATCTGGTATGGAGCTACAAGAAATCTTTGTGGTGGTATATAAGATCACCAGGGGCAGTTGTGAGTATCACTTAACCATTAAATAATAGTATGTGCATGTGTGTATAAATCTCTCTCTCATTTACACCCCCCCTCCACACACACACCAGGTAGGGAGTCCAAAGTCAGTGATTTGAATTGGCACCTTCTCACAGAGTACAGAATATGGTAGCTAAGTTTACTAAAATATGAGGATTTGCTTTTCTATAGCAATGAAGCAGGAGATATTGAAGACTATTGTCACCTTCACTATGTCTGAAAACTTTACCCTCTTGAAGGCCAAATCCCCTTTTGTTTCTTTTGTGGGGATGACACTGAAAGAAAATACTACTCAGCTTCTAGAAGGAAGCTCAAGTTAATAATGAGTACTTACAATGTCTCCTAACAAAGAGGAGTAAGGTTATCTTGATGTCTTTGAAAAATGGTTTATAATGTGAACGGGCATAACTGCACTGGGGAACTGAAATCTTTTCCTCTCTCTGGATTTGTAGGTGAGACATGGAATGGGGGCAGAGAGCTGATTGCAGAGAGGGGAGAGAATTCTGTGTTCAGAATGGTTCCAGCATTTCCTAGCAACTACAGACAAGAGACGAGTCCTCAGCACATTTACAGAGAGCCTGCCTCATAGCCTGTCCTCAGGTTACTTCCTTTTCCTGGCTGTCAGAGCTGAGAAGTCAAACATTTCTTGGAACTGTTCTCAAAAACTCAACATTCAGAAGGTTGCCAGGACTTGCTGTGGGTACCCAACTCATTTTTGGAGACATCCTTTACCTGAATCACTTAATGATTTCTCCTAGGGATCCGGGTCAACTCTGCTTTCCACAGTCAACCAGGACACACACAAATCTAACTCACACTGACCTGGAAGGCAAGAAGCTTCCTCATGAGGGGCACAAGGCCAAGCAGCAGGTCCTAGCTCTGAGGATGAAGCTGGCACCACTGCAGAAAGTATCCTAGTTCTTACACTGATAAATGCTGCCACGGAAACTTAGGGATCTGGGCAGGCAGAAGCTGCTGTGCTGTGTTTAATTTCCTGGTTAAAATCTTACCAGATGCTGGAGACAGCAGGAGCCCATAAGCAAATCTGAAACCCTTTCTAAAGAAACGGGAAAGCTTTCCTTGAGGATTCCAGACAGACGATAATTCATAGGAACAGGTTGGCAAATATTTTTATAGTTCTGTTTATAACCACTACATAAATGCTTGGATTTCCCAAATACTGATATAATAATAGCATGATTAGGTGTGAAAAGCCAATGATCTGTCCATTGGCAATACAAGGTCAACATGTAAAGATCAAACAATGATTACTGGGGAAAGACAACACAAGCTTCCAAAATCTGAAGTATTTTCAATCTTATGATTTTCTACATTTTTTCTAGAGTAGTTTTGGTCCTTTGTAAAGAATTTTTAAAACAGGATATCAATGGAGGTTGTTAACTCAGGGTGTATTAAATTCTTCAGTCTTTGCAGACAGATGGTAAAGGATCAAAATTGTCTAAGTTATTATCTACTAGCCACCAGTTTGTGAATGAATATATATACTAATTTTAAACTCCTCCCTCCCGACACCCTTATATGTGTAGTAAGCTAGGGTAATCCTAACCTAGAGCATACAGGCCTAGCAGTTTCCTGGCCTCAAAGGAATAAATCATTTTACAGCATGCACAGGATTGAACAATGATATAAATAGGACCCTACAGTAAGCATGTGCTGATTCTGCCTCAGAACTATCCTGTACACACATTAGCTGCCCCTTAAGCTTTGTGATAAGTATACAGGTTATAGGCAGGCAAGCAGGCAGGCAAGAAAAGGGGGATATCCCCCAAGGCAGACTCCTTGGATCTACCTCAGAGACACTGAAAGTCTAGAGCTTGATCAACAGCAACCGCAAGGTTGCTTGAATACAATTCAAACAGAATCTCAGTGTTCACATGGAAATACCACACAAGCAGAGGGAGGGAACACACTGTCCACCTGTAAACGAGCATTACCTTCCAAGTCTCCTACCTTGTATCTCTACAGTGTAAGTGTATGAACAGTCTCTTCTCTAACAACTGTTTGTTCTATTACAACACAATGTCATCCCCTGGCTTTAAATCATTTGGTAAGAAAAACTCATGTCTCGAGAAGATGTGTGTGTGTGTGTGTGTGTGTGTGTGTGTGAGCTTGCAGTTGGGTATCTCTCAATACACCACTGCTTCCTTGACCCTGAAAAGTGTGGTTGTAAGAACTGTGACCTGGAAATTGGAGAAGGCCAAGAAATGCAGCTCTGGGGCATGCCTGCTCATGCTACATGGGAGGGGAGAGCTGGGGTGCGGGAGGTGAACTGAAGGCCTGCTGCAGGGAGAAGGAGGATTCCAATTGTAGGAAAGAGAGGGAATGTTTGCTGGCAGATGGATCTGAATCCAAGCCAGCCAGCAAGTGGCATGGATTCTCATCACAGTGCACTGAAGCCACCTTAGGCTAACCTGGGGGTGGAACTGGTAAATTTTACAGTGACAATTCCCACCTGGCGATATACATGCTAGTCTTCTATTTTGTGACAGACATAGTAGTCCATACAGCTAGCCCAAGAATTCAGGTTCTATCAGACACTTTAGTGACAATTTGGAAAATTTGGGCAATCTGAATTCTGAAACACTGATTTCAACTTTTAATCAGATTTCTTTGTTCTTTTCCCATCACACTCCTTAAAGTCATTTTCTTACTACCTCTTCAATCACTTTTCCCATTTCCTCAGCACTGAATTATGAATCTGAAGTCCTAGATAATACCATATACTAAAAATATCTTCTTTCTAGCTCTGGACTCTTTTTTCAACCCCATGTTCCACCCAGTTGCTCTAATGCCTTTCACAAAGGCAGGACTGCACTATGAGAAACTGTCTAAGGAGCCAGTGCGGCCCTGCTTGGCCACATTTGCTGTAAGCTTCAGTACAAACCAAGTGGGTTTTCTGTTTGCAGGTACGGAAAAAACTTATTTCCTTTCAAGATATTCTAGAACCTTCCTTAGAAAGTGATACTGTTGACTTGCACAATATTCCAGGGGCTGGCTTTCCTGAGTAAGTAAGTTCAAAAGCAGCCTTTGGGGAGTTGCCTGAAGAGCCTCCAAGTTGATCAAAGGGGCTCTTCCCATGACCTACCACAAGAGAACAAGAAGCCCACAGTCAGTACTCATAAAACTTGTTGTCTCTTGGCGACGTGTGTGCCTGCTGTGGATCTGGGGACATATCCAGTGGAAGAAGTTTGTTGCCAGGCAGCTTTCACAGATATCAGAAGCCATTACATACACGCTGTCACATACACACGGGGAAGGGGTGTTTTCCACGAGGAATGGTTCGTCTTCATGTGTCCTCTTCTTCACTGGCACCACTAAGAAAGAAAGGGAGAGGCAGGTGAGTTCAGACATCAACCACAGGAAGGGAGGCAAGACAATATACAGGCTGATGATCTCGTGCTACTGGTCAGTAGAGCAATAGGAAGTGCCTTAGTTTTTTTGATTTCTGATTTCTAAATTTAACTATAGTGATCATGAAAATTAAAAACTTACTATCTTAGGTTGTGAAAGGATCAAATTAGAACATGTGTAAAATATACAGTACCCAGTATACTGTGATTAAGTAAAGAAGAGGCATCACGAGACTTAGAATTTTAATGAGCAAAATAAACTGCTGGCAGAAATCAGGAGTTTGATTTCCTTTAGGTGTTAGGCCACCTATTATTAGGTCAGAAAAATAAGAAGCAGCAATTAATGGCATTCTGCCCTGGTGGAGCCAATGTCTTGCCCATGCCACAAAGTTAAGTCTCCAGAAAGTACTCTACCTCATCAGGACACCGGATCATTCTCTGTGTACCCTCTCTCCTTCCCTCCTATCACATTCTATAGTTTGGTATTTATTCTCATCCCCCTTCTACTTAAGTAAATAAGGGCAGCATTAATACTATTTTACCAATGACTACACATCTAGAAGTTGTACAATGAACACAAAAAAGTGCTCAATAAAATGACTTTGGAAGTCACAACAGAAAGGGTGGGAGGAACTGATGCAACCAGAAGATTCCAGGGTCAGTGTTTCAGTGCCAAAACCAAGTGCACAGTTCCAAAGGTACAGCTACTACTTCAGTTGCTCGGATGTAAGCACTACTGGTTCTGGGAAAAGGCAGCAGGGGTGAGCACCTTTACAGAAAGGCAAAAGCAGCAGACCTGCCTTGGCACTCTTCATTCACTTCTAGAGGTCACTGATTCAAACACGGACAAGAGACAACTTGATCTTCTGCTACTGAACCTGAACACAGAAATATCATGACCCAGAACTTGGCTGTTCACCCAGTCTTTCTATTATTCCTCACTACAATCCCAGGATATTGGAATTATTATTTTCTATATTGCCCAGAAAGTGAAGCTTGGTGAGATTAAGAACCTAGAGTTCTTTGAGATCAAGGTTTAATTTTGGCTGGAAGTCCAAAGTTTCAAGCTGGTAGAGACAGAAATGGTTTATAATGTATTAGCTTCCAGCTATGACCTAGAAAGTTCTCAGAAAGGATTACCTTTGTCTACATAAATCTGTGCTCTTTGTTTCCATCTGGAGAAAGAGTTGAGAGAAAATATTCTAGCAGTGGGGTTCTAGTACTTCCAAGGTACAAACATTTAAGACATGGGCCTACATATTAAGGGGAGTGTGCTCTAGAAGCCGGAAGAGTCAAGGCAGTAACACGCCACACCAGAATTCTGTCCTACTTGTTTCCTATTGGCTGTCCAGTCATGAGATAAAGGGTGCGTGTAGGCAGGGCTGACCAGAGGACTGCCATTAGAGCAGTATTTGGTGGCATCTGTCCCAAAGGGAACAAAGGGTCTTTTATGAAAAGACTGTAGCCAGAATCAAAGCACAGATAAAACTGGCCCCATATTTTCCCCCTTGTATTGAGAGCAAGCTCTTTTTGTTTCTCTGCCAGCCTTCCTTCTAATATGAGAGGACTGATGGTGACTGTGCCCTTTCCTTAAGCTGCAGTTCACTTTCCAGCATTCTTGAGATAAAGCACTCATGAACCTACTGAAATTCATTCAAGAGTTTTGTCTATGTGTCCCTTTGTCTGAGAAAGGCCATAATTTTCATCATAGTTTCAAAGACGTCAACAACCCCAACCTCAAACTAAGAATATCAAATCATACGCAATTTCTTTTCAGTTTGATACAGGGTTTCTCTGTGTAGCCCTGGCTATCCTGAAACATCTAGACCAGGCTGGCCTTGAACTCCGAGATCCACCTGCCTCTGCCTCTCAAGTGCCGGGATAAAAGGTGTGCACCACCGCCTAGATCAGTGTTCAGGTTTTTACTATAAAACTGTATAAAACTTGGAGTAGTTCAGGGAAAAGGTCTTTGCTGACAAAATCTATTCTCATTACCCCAAGAGAGATCTGTTCCTGGGCCTGAAAGATAAGATTCTCTCACTGTTTAGAGCAGGAGACCCTGTGATTCTGATATACCATTTATTGATTTCTTCAACTGCTAAATATTTACTGATTGTCTACTGTGTGTTAGGCTGGATGTCACAGTAGTCCCCCACACAGATGCCACAGCTCTGGTGTGATGGGGGCTCAGGAGATATTTTGTTTTTAAAGAAAAAAAAAGCATATTTTCATAAAACAACCTGTTTCTCATGATAATAATAAAAAGAAATGTGTAGCACAGGTACCCAGTTGGTATATGAGGTCTCTTCTGGTGGGTTACTCATCGTGAGAGGCATCTCCTTTCTTTTCCATTCTGCTTTCACTTATTACATGAGCATATGTTCAAACGACCTTATCTGAAATGCCTTAAAATCTCCATGGTTCCTCTCCAGGTACCCATCTGCTTCCACAGAAACACCTACTTGTCATACAGAGATCTACAACTGGACTGGGGATTGCAGGTTACAGAGATCTTTTAAGGGGTCTGTTTAATGTATCAATTTCTAATGAATGAGGGGCATCAGGCAGACAGCCATTCTCTTCATTCTACTGAGGTCTTTAAGAAGTGGGTACCATTAAACAATGTCCCAAGGTCATGGAACTGTTGAGGGTTAAATTCTTAGTGAATCTCACTTTCACAGGCTAGTGCTACATATCTTGCAGTGTTTACAGACATACTTTTTATATACACATGATTAAAGGAGTTGTACCCTTCTTTTAAAAATGAAAATTCAAAATTTGTCTTCTAACGTTCCCTCAATACCTTTGTTTTGGCACCTGAAAACAATTATATTTTAGATTAAACATGTTATTTCTAAATTTCCTTCAGATAGTTGAGATGAAAACAGTTTTTAAAAATGTGTATGTGGGGTGTGTGTATGCCTCTGTGTGTGTTTCTGTGTAATCATGGAGGCCAGAGGTTGATGTCGGGTGTCTACCTCTATAAATCTCCACTTTATTTTTGAGACAGTTTTACACGGAACCCAAAGCTTACCATTTCAACTAGAATAAATGTCAGCAAGCCTATGACATCTGCCTGTCACCACTCATCCCCCAATACTTGGGCGATAGACATGAAATGTCAACACAGTTTTTATGTGAGCTCTGAGTGTCCGAATTTAGGTCCCCCTGCATTTGCTGGTCCTCATGCATTGAACTATCTTCCTGGATAGGTTTACATATCTTTTTACTGAATGACAACTTCAAAGCTAAGGAAATACAGGGATTGAACATAAAGTTTCATGGCTCTGACCATTCTAAGCAGGTTTCTAGAAAAATTGTTCCTTGTCAATGCTGGTAATAGTAGGGCACTGAGTACCGTGGATTAGTTAGGAGGCTTCTGCTCATTGACTGGTCTGGATTGAAGGTAGCTGATTTAGAAATAGTAGTCTTAAAGCTGTAGTGAACATTCCCTGGTGTATATAACGACTTTCCAGGGATGACTTGCGTATGGATAAGCATTAGAACAATTTGCAAGTCTTTAATTTCTATGTATCTTCTTTCCTAAAAGTGATAATCTCAAGAACATGGGGTACAGGTTTTCTTTGTAGCCAGGTCCATTTTCAAAATCTCACTCCCACTTGAGGAAAGATATACACACCTGTCTACACACTGCATTGCAGAGGTTTTAAAGAGATCCCATGAAAGCAGGGTAAGAAATAGTAAGACATTATTCTCTATTACATCTATATAAGGCAATAGCTTATCTCTATGTTTTACTAAGATTTAAACTCAGAAGACCGCTGTCACAAAGTACTAGTATGTTTATTTGAATTGGATATAAATGAAATCAAATCTAACAGAAAGTGAGTGTGATTTGGCTGGCTAATTTGAGTGTAAGAAATGGATCTGTCAATTAGATTATACAGTGAATATTGTCTGTAAATTTAATAAGTTTGTGATGCCAGTTTTGGCAAAAGCATACATAAAATGAGATGGACACTACATGATAACGAGCAGTCATATCCTTTCTAATTAGCTATACTTGACCCAAAACTTAAGGAATTAACTTAAAGGAGGGCAAGGAGGCACACATTTTTTCCTATATTTAAGGGATGCAAAACCAGAACATTTAACTACAGGAACTAGGAGCACCTAAATTCCAAATGGGATGGTGGTGTGAGATTTAGCAGCTCTCTGTCTAGGGTCAGGGTCTGTGGGAACAGAATGGGGCCAAGGAGTCCCAGGTAGTGTAATGAATGCTGTGTCCTCTTCTAAGACTTGGGCATACTGAGATAGCCCTGCTATTTGCTGTGGCACCTATAGATGTAAGCTGGGAGAAGATACAAGGCCCAGTCACACTCAACCCCAACCACCTACTGAAAGAAGATTGCCATGCAGGAGATAATCCTGACAAATCCATACAGACAGGTGGCTCAGCTTTGCAGCTTGTCCTCAGAGTTGAAGGGGTTTGAGAGGAAGTTAGTATGTGTATGGTAGGCACTCTGAGATCACAAACGTCATAGTTTCTGTCCCTATGCAGATAATGCACTTATTGTGATTGGTACTGCTTGTTCATCACCACTGAGTTCACGGCCACTTACTAATTAACCATTGCTCTAAAAGAATTATTCAACTCAAGAGAATAGAGAAATTAAGAGATATTAACACTGAGGAGGGAAAAGGAAGGAAGAAGGCTAGATTTAGTATTTTTTTTTTTAAATTAGACCACATAGGCACTGCACAAAAATCTAACTGGGAAGCCCTGAGCTTTCAGTATTTCAGTAGTTCTAGTAAGTATGTCAGCTGTGTGTGGGGGCAGGCGTGGGGCGGGATGGACCACACACTCTGATCCAGGAGCTTTCCTCCATGCCTCACTTGCCCCTACAGCCTGGGCAGAAAGGAACCGGAGCTGTTGTGCTGTTAAGTATGGGAACTTACTAGTCTTAACCTGGGGAGCAGGTTAGGTATAAATATAAAAGAAA